ACTCCCAACCCGCCCTAACTAGTAAATTCTAGAGCATCCGCCAAGGCACGGGATAGTTCTAAAAACTAGAGGGCGGGAGAATAGTCACGTGATCTCGATGACGCAACAATATCTTCAACTTTAAGAACTGCACAATTTGTAAATTTCGTTATTAAAAAAAACATTACACAATTCTGAGCAACTCAGAGAAAATGCTAATTTGAGAAATAACTACATTACGCAAACATCTCTTCCAAGTTTTGATTTTAATCTAATCCATGAAGTAACTTTATTTAATAATTCCAAAATAAATAAATAAAGCCTTGAAAACAGAATTTTGAATGTCTGGTGTTACCAAACGTCTTTTCATACGTTTGTTTCTTTGTTGTTAAGCGCAGAGTTACACAAATGGGCATTCTGTGCTGCATGTGCCCACCGCAGGTATCAACACCCCATTTTTCGCGTGATAGTCCTCAGACTTACCGCTGAGCCACCTGGGTTTTTTTGCAAAAATATTTAAATACGGTGATATGTCCTTCTTCCAAGTTAAAACAAGTACTCATATCATGTAGGGTTGAAAATATAGTGGAAAATGAACATTATATATACACACACATACCTTTTTTTAAAGAAATGTCGTAGCGCAAACTAAAAATCCAATTTTAAATAATTAAAGTTCTACTTCATGGACAATAATTTTAGGAATCTAAAGTCTGATATCGGTATTTTGGAGGCATGCTAAAAGTCAGAGATAGCAAGTGTTTCAGGAACTTTAGTATTAAAGTTTTTCAAAAAGTTCCAAAATATTAGTATAACATACTGCAGGATTTGATGAAAAAAAAAAACATTGAAAAGATGTGCTTGTTCGACGGCTACAAACACTAATCAACACACAGAAATGTATCTGCTAGTTACTGTATTAATTACATTTAGGAATAGCCCCTGTTAACGTTAAAATGTGTTAAGCCAGAACGTTACCGTGTTGTGAAAAGTTCTGTGATTTCTAAGAAAATGAGAAGTTGTTAGCATTTTCGATTTCCAGTTTGTTTGTTTTCGAGCCTTCTGATAATTGCTCTCTTTGCTCATCAATCATTGAATAGTTAAAGCCGTAAGATTGTTTGTTTTTTTTCTTCAAATAAATGTCAGTTATATTTATTGTTAATTGAGAATATAAATTAATTTAAAAACTGTTCACAAGCTTATGGTGTTATATCTGTGAAAAGGTGAGGACCGTGACGAAATTAAGGGAAGCGAATGTGCAGTTTGGGTGTCTGCCCACTCAGACAATAAGCACACAGAGAAACTCCGGACTGGTACTGTTGAGATTTAGTATGTGGCGCTGTTATCTCTTTATATCTGCAGAAGTATATATCAAACAGCTTTTATGTTAAAATTATCTAAATATTTAGAAATACATTTATACTAAAAATTACCTTTTTTAGATTTAGCCCCTATTTTCAATTTTGTTGGCCAGGAGACTTGTGTGTCCGTTTCTTCCATAATCTGATAAAAAAAAAAAGTTATTTAAAAGAAAATAAGTGGAAAATCGTCAAAATACTGATGTTTAGCATTGAGTAAAATGGTAAGAGCTTAAAGAATGACGTTTCAGTGCATCTACATGGACCTTTATACATGATATTAAAACATACAATCTCTAACTATATTTTAGGATAACAATAATGCTTAGTAACTAAACTTATGTGGATCAGCCTTCAACAAGTGCTCTGACGTCATTGCAGCCAACTACTTTTTGAATCTTTCAACATCGTGTCTATGAAAGGCCGTACGGGTAAAATGATTAAATCACCGTTTTCTTGAACAGTCTCGGCCGTTGAAAAGTTAACCAATTAGATCTATGATATTCTTTCACGTACTCAAAAGCCCGAATTTTTACAATGATACCGTGTTTTAATAATTTAATAGATTTTACGATGACTTGCAACTCGAAATGACTACTAAACAATAGGCACTCAAAAAAATAAACAGACTATATGAAGACAAATTCATTTACATAAATCATCCCATATCAATACAAATTATCAATATTTTTATGAAAAAACAACAACTCGTATTTAACTTTTAAGATATATATATTTGCATTTTAGATTTGCTAATTGTATATTAATGCATCGTAAATAAAACATACTGAATATTATATTTTGGCAACCGTAAAAAAAAAAACGAAGTTTAGAACGACACAATATCATCACTGCACTAATGTTGTTAACATCTCAATCCAAACAAATTGATATAAAACAATGATCAGTACACACAAGAAAAACAAATTTTGGCTATTTTACATAGAAAAGGTTAAATAAAAATTATAGTTATCTTCATATCGCAATATTATCACGTACGAAGGCACAAAATTTCCATCCAAATTTTTTGTTTATATGTTTCTCAACATTATTTATTTATTTATTTATTACACATGGGTCACCATACTTAAATAAGTTGTTTGTTTGTTGTCAAGCGCAAAGCTATACAATGAATTATCTATGAGCTATCGAAACCTAATTTTTAGTGTTATAAGCCTTCAGACTCGCCGCCGAGCCACCGTGGGTCTTTGTATATCAAGCGCAAGGCTTTCCGCAGCCAAATTAAATGAATTAAATTGTTGTTACTTATGTGAAAGTAGTTTTACTTAGAATGGTTCGTCCAACACCACTCTCTTGACACAAACATCGCGTGTCCTTGAACTGTTGGATTGTGTCCTTGTAGGAAAGAATTGTCATTACAGAAGAACAACAGTTATAATTTCGTTTCCAACATAATGGTCATTTCTTTTTTGCTGAGAAGTCAGCACAAGCTACTGTTGGCATAGGGTCTCGAATCTTGGTAGGAAATTATTCGTAAAAAAATGTGATCTCGAATGAGCCTTAGGGGTTTCTACATCAACGTATATCGCTTCATGTCTTTCAACTTTCTTTGTTTAAAAGTTACAGCGTTTAAAATGTGGAAAACCACTTGTAGAGAACCTGTATATAACGCTTTATTTCTAAAAAATTACAGGATTGAGTATCTTGCGGATAAACCTTTTTTAAACATACAAGTCAAACTCGCTGTTTTTGATCATACCTTATTATATCTTGAAGATGTATTTCGAATACAAATTTTTTTTCTCTTTAAAGTAACGCAGAACAGCGAAATGTAAAAAAAAATCCAGTTTTCTCAACCTTCTTGGTAACACAACAATGTTTCTAGGTTGTATAGGCTTAATGTGGTTCATCATTGTGTCTCCTTCAAGAATCAATCATAAGTGTTGAAAGTCATATATTTGATAAGAAACAGTTTCAGCTTACATGAAGGTGTTTGCATGGCATACTTAGAAATTATAAAATAGTTTAAATTACGTAAAAGTATCTGAAAAAAAAAAATACTCGGTGAGGTTCGTAAAAAAAAATTAACCTTCGCAATCCTTCAACTGCATAAACCAAACAACAAGTCTTTGAATGACAATTTTAAATCGTTTAGATCACGAGGTTCATTTACATCTGGTAGTAGTAATCGTGATTATGTAAAAACGTTTCCTGCACCCGTAACAGTAGCTATCATGACATGTTGTAGGTCGCTCTTACAATCATACTGTACTCGCACTTTGCTTTCCATTAACTTCATTAAAGTTGTACTTATTTCTATCCGGAATTGGCTCATACCAATAGAAGCGAAACAAATCTTTTTCTTACTATGATGAATAACATATAGATTCAGAATTTGCTTTATTTTCTTACTGGCAGCATTTTACTTTATTCCTTCGCCTCTTTCAGTTTATTCGTTCTCTCTCTCTCTCTCTCTCTCACAAACACACATCTTCCACTCTTCTTCCATTTTTTTCCGAACTCCTTTTATATTTCTTTCTTAAACACACGTCAAACTAGTCCCTTTCTTTCCGACCTTACCACCTATTTTCCGCAATTAGGATTATAATATTCCATAATCACAGGGGTCCAGTAATTTCCACAGCAGTTAAACAATAATGCAGTAGCTCACTCCAGTTATTTTCTAATGAATTAGTGTTGTAATCCCTTATACTTACCAAAAGCCAAACGCTTCCTTGCCTCTCTTAATCACAGCCGATGTTTTTGACACTTAATTTATAACATATTAGTTGACATTACGATTATGTATATCATAGTTCACTTTAAACCTGGCACGACAGCCATCATGATAAGCGAGTATTTAATTTTGTGCACGCTTCATTATACAGATTTTGGCACTACTAGAGTTTCTTTTTACCTACTTAGAAATATATATTTTTGCATTCACATGCTTTTTATAGACATTAACGTGTAATAACTTACTTTAACTGCTCGTGCACAATTTTTTCCACTACTTTCTGCAAATTCAACCTTCTTGCAACAGAGACGTTCCCGAGACACAATCTCAGAGAGGTTTTAATCAAGTAATTACAACTTTCAAAAGTTTTCTCGGCAGCTGCAACAATTACTGAAGATTTAAATAACACTTTGACAACAATGTACACATGGAGATAAACTGATGATAATAATTGATCATTTTTATGAGTACAATGCAGTGTTTCAAGAGCGTCAACATCTGGATAGAGTTAAAGATAATTCCATGTATGGTTTTAACAACTTCATTTTGTTCCACATTTGAAGTATTATAACATGACACAAAAATCTAAAATTGACATGTAAATACGGAGCACCTCAAATCTTCTATTTTCAAAGCACAGCCTACTTGTTGTTAAACTATATTCTTTTATAGAACTACCAATACACATTTTTCATCTCACACGAGTTTCTGGTAATCCTGGAACAAATTATAATTATTCTGCTAGTTGCTAGCCTTTGTTAGGGCACTTTGGAAATCATTTCAAGTACCTGCTTTATGCCATTGATTAAATTACTAGCAATATCAATTTCTACACTTAGCTTTGCATTTGATTTGTACACGCATATCATAACAAACAAAGTTACTAAATGAATTAGAAATCGGTATGATGTTACCACATCTCCTGAACATCGCGAATCAGACGAGGTAGCATTATCCATTGTAGTTTCATGTAATTTCAATAATTTATTTTGGTATCATACTGCTTTTGCATTCCCACTTAGTGCCAGAAAGAGTTTTGACAGTGAGATTGTTAATTTCAAAACAGTCCATATGCTACTTTATGCCACAAAAATAGTACAAACTCTTCACTCTTTGAAGAAAAAGCTTTTGACCAGCTGAAACAAGTTGCAGCATCATACACTACAAGGTTAAATGAATGACAGTCACAAGGAACGTCAAATATTATTTTAATTGGTTGCAACAATCAAGACGGCAAAGCCTTATGTTGGCCTGATATATCTGTGTCGTTATCATATCCTTGAACTATGAAGTCTTAAATGGTATTCCATGCTTCGAAAGCTCATCAAGAATTACTTCTGTTAGAATAAAGCCTGCGAGTTCCTCACATTAATGATGGATTATTTGTTTGGTGTTAAGCACAAAGCTACACAATGGTTTATCTGTGCTGCACCAATCACGGGCATTGAAACCCAGTTTTTAACGTTATAAGCCCTCAGGCTTACAGCTGAGCCACTGTTCAACATTTACCTCCATTCTTGGGATATTTATAAAATTATCAAAAGTTTACGTTATGGAAACAGTCCACTATTATATAATACCTTATACATTCAATCTTTAAAACTGCATTAACGACTTCTTTTGACAGCCTCTGCATTAACTCATTTTCTGATTTTAGGGCTCAAATATTGACTATTTGCTTCATTGTTTATGAGACTATGAATGTTTTCATTTATTACGGGATCAAACTTTGTCATCAATTCCGTTTGGCTAAAAATTTCTGGGATTATTTAACCAATCAGAAGTCCAGCAAAAAGCTTGATTTATCTCTGTCAAATGCACGACTTTTTCAACCATCCTATTAAATATGCCTATCAAATGCTACTTTTGAACACTGATTAAAGGCGAGTCGTAGTATATACTGTAGAATTAAAACCTGTGGGAGTTACAATTCCTTCCAAATTTGTAAGACATCACATATATAAACTGAAATTTTTTTTCGTGAAATTCTAGTTTCTTTAATATACCACCAGGAATGAAAAACAATCGTGTTCTTTTTCTGACTGATGGCCAAACAAGTTACAGGAAAAGGGAATAGCAAATCTAGTTTTAAAGAGCACACCAATCATAGACAGAACTTTTCCATATTTTTCTCTGAATATTGTCTTTCAGAGTGATTTTCTTTTGATGGAAAAATAACGCCTTTAACTTGTAGAGGTTTTTAAAAACCTAACTCTCGTTTGATAACCTATATTTTGTGGTCATGAACCAATATCCAAAACGTTGAATAGTTCCAGTATCTTACTTTGGTTAGTCGTTTCTACTTTGCTCTTTAATGATCGTCACTGTCTTTCAATTAATTTTCAACTGTTGCTTCTGCTGATGTACTAAGAATAAACAAACTTATCAAGTGCACCTTTTTACACTTTTTTTTTTGGGGGGGGGGGTTCTGGTTGCTTTCTTTTTGAAACGCCAGATTTGTATTTTCTTAACAATTCATGGTTTTGTAAACAAGTATTAATGATTGATTACTTTGATATTTCTTTTATTCCTTCTCGGTAAATTATTTATGGGTTTGAATTTTTCATTTGCCAGCTGTTCTATGCACGCTATCTACAACTGTTCTCCCACCAATTAATGCTTGTACAATGCACACGTTTTTTCGAGGTAGGTTTCGAAAGTGCTACCATTTGCAAAAATACCTACGAGTATCTTATGCAAGCTGCACAAACCAACAGACATTTGTGCAAAACACATTGAAATAAACTAAATAATTATCTCGATTCGTGTTGTACGCTAAGTAAAAAAGCCTTAAAGTTTAAAATTCATCATAATATTTTTTTCATTTCGTTTAGAGAAAAAATGCTTTTCTTGTGCTAATTAATACAAAAATTCAAACATAATAATTATAATTACTTCATATGAAATATGCTGTATATTTAAACTGAAATAAATTAACTCTAAAACTTTTCACACGGTCAAAGTGCTCGTAATCTTTGGTTCTTCTACGATGCAGAGGACTATCGGCGGCCCTGCGAGTGTTATGTTTGTTTATATCAGAGTTATATATATATAAAAATCTGTAAAGGTAACCATTGTTGTTATTAGATAAATTGGTATCTTCCAAATAAACTACCAGTATCCAGAATAATAAGGTTAGGAAAACACGTAGGTTAAACAAATCAATTTAACACAAAAGTATGATACCCTATAATCCGAATGCTTTCGAAAGATGGACCTTTCGTCTTCAGGAGCAAATTGGAAACGACCATGTAAAGCAAAGTGCGAGATAAAGTGATGTTGAAGTGACGTCACGAAGGCCACCATGGCAACCCGGAAGTGTTTTAAATAACTTTCAATGTATTGTTACAAGTGTCTCACTTCCCGTGCAACACGACCAGAAACAAGTATGTTAGAGATATTTTGTTTTAAAAAGGAAAAGCGGTCAAGAGGAACGACACTGAGCATTGATAAAGTAGAATAAAGGTGAGATATGAAAATTGATTAAAACATATGTTAGGCAGACAGATCTAAAAAAGTGGAATATTAGCATTAAAAATTTAAAAAAAACGTGGAAATTACCATAAATAAATAATAAGTATTAAAAATATAAGGGAAAAAGTAGAGAATTTACAATAAGAAAATCTAACAAAGATCTAACCAATGATCGGAAATCACAAATTCAATGATCTAGATTTATTCCACAAGATTGGGCAGTTTCAAGACCAATGAGAGTCACATCATTATTAGAATGACCGGGTTGGTTAAAGTGTTTGGCAACATGGAGGTCCGTTTCGCTGTTAATACAAAATTTATGATTGCAGAAACGCTCCCTGGGAGTTTTGCGAGTCTGTCCTACATATTGGTGATTTCATATTTTACGCTATATAAGGTAATACGTATTTTGTGTTGTGCAAGTAATTTCTTTAGAAATTTTATAGTTTTTGGTCATATTTGTTTGAGAAAAAGTCCGTAGTTTTACGAACTTGTAGGTTAGACAATGAGCTTTATGACTACCATTCTGTGGTGGTGTGTAATTCACTTTTGCATAAACAAGGTTATCTTTAAAACTTCTGCTCTTCCAGAAGGAGACAACGGGATCATTCAGTTACAACAGATGAAAATGTTTTGTTTTTCAGAATGCGTCAAACGCTTGAGTTTAAATTGTTAAGTAATAACAAGAGGAATTCTGTTTGAAACTTTAGAATTACACCGTTTAAGAATGGCTTTCCGATTTCTCTATCAATTTCGGTATCTCCATATCCTCTTTGTAACATGGTTTTAGGTCCTTGGTGTGGTTTCTCTAATTTGTTTCATCTGCAAAGATTTTCTTCATTAGGAGAACTTAACAGTGAGTAATATTCCGTTTAGTTGAGCAGGGTAGCAACTTTTATAGTGAAGTTATTGTGGTGTGTTGGTAGGTTTTCTGTATAAATCAGTGTGTAATATTCCGTCATTTGAAAAGACGGTGATGTCAAGAAAGTTCATTTGGGCAGGAGAGTGATTGAGGGTAAACTTGATTGTTTTGTGAAAGATACTTGCATAAGAAATAGTCTTAAGTAATTCAGAACCAGCTGTCCAAATGAAAAAAATATCTGTAACGTTTCCATGCATGAGGTTTTACGGGACTTTGCTGTAAAAGCTGGTTTTCAACATGACCCATAAATATATTGGCATAGTTAAGAGCTATTTTGATAACCATTACAGTACCGTTAACCTGAAGGTAGCGTTCGTTATTGAATTTGAAGTTGTTTAGAGATAAAACACGGCTGGCGAGATCAATTATTTTCTGACATTCTGATGGGTTAAAAAGGGTTAGAGCAGATTTTTGAGTGTCAAAACATTCATCATGTAGAATATTAGTAGACAGGGAAAAAAACATCCATTGTACACAGAAGGCTGTTAGGTAGTAAATGTCCGTTGGTATTGATTTCCTCTATGATATTTAGAAAGTGAGTCGTGTTCATGTAAGAAGGGAGAGTACAGGGAATACTTTTTGTGGTGATCGACAAAAGAAGACAACAACTCAGTAGCTATGTTTGTGTTAGAAATTATGGGTTGACAGGATTATTAGGTTTGTATCTTGCCGTCGCCTACCATATTTACCAAATCTGAGATTACCTAATGTATTCTTAACGAACAAACTTAACAAATTTAACATACAACTACAGGCTGATCACGTAGCGCATGCGCATAAGCGATCGTGCACCCGTACGTGATATGAGGGCGGTTTCTTACTTGGCAACTCACAGAGCGTGCTGGTAACCATAGAATATGGATCCTAGTGTATTGTTAGCTCATTAGTAGTGTTGCAAAATGTTTATTGTTATTACCAAGATTATAAATAAAACTAAGAAAAACGCTTTTAGCCAAGGAATCATGTGCACTTAGATTTGCACAAGGTGAAGGCAGGAGAGAACTATGTCTTTCCAACAACATTGGTCAGTCAGATTGACAAATTTGTGGTTGTGTGAAAATTTTGTTTTTACTCTAACGACTTTCTTAATTTTTTTATGGCTTGTTACTCTGCACTTGGTTTGTTTACTACTGAACACTGGGTATAAAGTGCTTATAAAGTTGTTTTTTATATGCTGTTTGCAGTGTATTTGAGATTTTAATTTGTATTGCACATCTAGCCAATTCCTACTATAAGAACTACCATATGTACGATAAATGTGGCAAAGTAATTATCATGTTAGGTGAATACAGTGATTGTACGCCAAAAAAGACATTAATGACTGAAAGAAGAAAAAAAGCTGTACCCTTGCATTCGAATTTCCAGGATATCTAACTTTCTTACTTCGTTTATTCATCTTATGTTATCAGGAATTCAGATAAACCATAAGTAATTAAAGTGTATACATGGAACAATGGGATGCTCAATTTTAGCAAATTTTCATTAAATTGTTTGATGTGGATGAAACAGAAAATATAACAAAATTTTGTATTGTATTACGAGAAATACAAATACCTACATTCAGGTACCATTCGAATATCAAGAAATTATTTGCGACAAGCGATCACTAAGTACAACTTGTAATCCTCATTAAGTACTGTGGTACTTAATAGTAGGGATCGTAATGAAACAAAATGGCGGCCTTTAACCACCTTTAAAATGTCTGAATATTAACAATGACCATTTCACAGTATTGTCTGAGTAAAACTAAAGCTTATTACTCCCCTTGCCCCTGATGGGGGAGGGTATTGCAATCGGTTCCGAGTGTGTGCCTGTCTGTCTGTTTCCGCGAGCGTATCTCGAAAATTAATAAACCGATGTACACGAACATTTTAAACGAGATGGGAAGTGAGTAAAGGACAGTCTTTCCTAAGTTTGGTCGGAATCCAAATCCGAATTTTAGATCACTTTGAAGCATTTTCTAATAATGGGGGAGATAGGGCATTTTCGCAGTTTGAGGTTAATAACTGTGAAATGTGATCGGATTTGTACAAAATTTAATGGGCACATTAAGGTTGAGACTCCTCATCACACTACAAAAAATAATCCGGATCGTTGATCATTCTGGATCTGGGAAATATTTTCTGAGTTTTTGAAGGCGAAATTCAACGTTATCCAATATAAAAACATGCATCTCGAAAAGGAGCTGCGGGGTGATGGTATGCAATCTCTCTGATTGCTCTTGTTGTACTTAAAGCCACCTAAAACGCTATATATCGGTTTATGGAGTGAAAATCAAAATTTCACTATTTCAACGAATTTTCATCTAAGTAAGTAAGTGACATTTTCAGACAAATGACGAACCTTATTGCTTTAATGTTTTCACAGAATTCTTCCGTCTGGGGTCCCAATGATTCCTTTCTTCTACCGAAAAGGATACTAGTATTGTATAAAATGGACGATGCGCTACTTTGGGCATATAAATAGATTTGAGGTTGGTAGAGATCGTGATAAGTAATAAAATCGAATCGTGTATACGCGAGCCCCACGCTTGGTATTGCTGGCGCACAAATATATAGCTAATAAAACGGAAACAAACAGGTACATTAAAGATTAAATTTGAAAACGACAAGTAGGGATCGATATATACGTAATCTAGCAAGTTATAGTAATATAGAATGTTTTAATGCTACAAAAAGTATTGAAACAAGAAAGTCGAAACTACAGAAACTGAGTTGCTTAAAATTAAAACAAAATTATCCATACTTTAGCTCAGACTAACATAATTACAGTGCATGGAATTCTGAAGAGATGTACATTTTTTGTCTGATTTGCAATGTCAATACGTTTCCATATTAAAGTATCTATTTCTTTTGGAATCTGGTTCATATATTACACTCCTTACTCACTTTTTGGAAGAAATATTCTGCAGTTCTTGGACCACCATCAGACGCTGTTCCTATAAAAAGAAGCATAATTTTACTACTAGACTATAAAAAAGGACGAAAAGAGATGCTACTATAGCAACAGCTACTATCATCATCATCACCGTTTTAACTTCCGTTTATTTGCAATTGGCACCATTTATTATAAATAACGCTTTTAAACTAATAAAGTACAAAATACCATTACATAACATTTTTGGAGCAAATATAATAGGAATGAAATAAATTCCAACAATCAAAACTAACACATTATAACATAAATTTAAGGTACTCTTTTGGAAAACCCAACTTATTAAATTATTATTATTTGCTGAACAAAAACGTGGATAGATATAAATCATTTAGCATGAAATTATGTTTTAGTGAATCATTAAAACGGTGATGATGATAGTATTTGTATAGACCCCACGCAATAGTGTAAATAACTTTATAGACAACACGCTACAGTAGCACCCAAAACTATTTACAGAAACATATACTGTTGAAGTCTGTTTTTTTTTAACTTTATTTTTTCATTGTTGTTTGGCACGATGGAGGTTTGAAATCAGTGATATGTGTGGGTTAAGGCCTGGAATTTTCTACAAACTCTTAGAAAAGATTAAGCAGTATAAAATCAAGTAAGATTAGAGTAAGGGGATTATTAGGTCAGTCAATTAATGATAACGAAAATGCTTTATTTCTTGAAATTTCAATTTCCTAACTTTGCAGATAAACTACGTCTAACAAAGTCCACTTACTCTTTTCTTAACTGTTTTTCTATCGTAACACAAGCTCATTATTCACGGCACTGAACTGAGCAACTGACTGAAATAACAATAAAGTTAACTAATTCATGTACTGATTACTTAGTTAATTCTAGTGGTTAGTGCTTTGGACTCGTAGTTGAAAGGTCGTAGGTTCGAGTCTTGTCCAGGGACACGGTGTTCTGACCCTAAATGTGGCTCTTTACCCATTTACTTTAGCTTACCTTGTAATATAATGGGTACCAGAGGGTAGTTAGATGTATACTTGTAGCGCATGTGCAATTTCTACACATTCGTATGTGGAAATACAAAAATAGAAACGTTAAATTGCCTCCTAAACTTTCAAGAAGATGCTAGTCATTAAGGATACGTCTGTCACGTTTCGTTAAATTCCCTTCCAGCTAAACAAAATTTATGACAACTGATTTTGAATGGAAGTAAGCTTTTAAAAACACACCGCAACAAAATCAAAACAATTCGTTTTCATTCAATCAAAAAATAACGTTTTAAATAATTATATTAGGATGTGAAACAGTTATTTCAGTGAGATAACATCTGAAAACTGAAATTCAATACTAAGTTTCGAAAATATATATAATCTTGAATCTAAATGTATCGGAATCCGCAGTTTGGCGCGTTTTCGTTTTAAATCGGTTTTCACATTAGGGAACTTTTGTCGCAGCCATTTGCGATAGCAATTTTCGGTTTAGCGCGGTTTTGAAATAGAAAATGGGACTCTCCAACGCAGCTGTGCATGCGTGAGATGCGCCACATGCTCACTTTATCTTTGAAAGCTATTATTAAAGTAGGAGGGTACTTATCACGTCAGGTCTTCAGTGCTGATGAGACTGGCCTTTGTTTTTGCAATAAATAATTAACAGTACTTTCGATTCTTCTAAAGAAAAACATGTACCTAGTTTTATAGCAGCAAAGGATAGGTTAACCCTTCTTTTTGGGGTCAATGCTAAAATAAATCTTAGGTTGAAACCTGTGCTTGTGTATCATAGTGAAAATCGGAAGAAAATCAACTTTATTTAATACATGTTATCTAATGCTATGTGATAACAGTGCACGATATCGTTGCTCAAAAAAAAAACGGCTGTGAAATAAATCAACCAGTGTAAAGTCTGAAGTATCAACAATGCTTGAATCATTGCATAGGCTATACAGGTAGGCTTAGGCTTCATTAGTTTATGATCTATACTGAGGCGGTAAGACTACACCAGGCATCGCGGGCCCCGGGACATTGCCCCGCGCTAGTTACGTTCCGATAAAAAAGAGCCCCGATCATTTCTTTGCCCCGGGGCCCCTGAACTGCTTGTTCCGCTACTGGATCTATATATCGGTATGATCTTACTTTCAGGTTTATTTAATGTTATATATACACTTCTTTAATGTTTGAGTATTTATTAATATCGTAAAATACGCTTAAAAGATTCTACGTCCAGTAAATTTTCGGTCAGGAACACATGAGAAATTGATTTTCGTTTAACACCGTTTTTCAGGAACATACTAACCGCGCTAAACGAACGATACCGGAAGTAGTTTATATTCGTTCAAACCGCGCTAAACGAAGAATATCGGAAGTAGTAGATGTCCGTTTTCGGTATTTGTATAAAAGTAGTTATGATACTACACATACATACACATTGTATAACGAGAGATCCGGCATGCATTAAGAAAGCTATCAGATTCAACAAACAGACCTACAGTTTTAACTCTAACGCCATTTTTTGTTTCTGACACGAAATATAATGGGTTTATTTTTCTGTAATGATAAACAGACCTACAATTTCAAATCCAAAACTGTTTTCGCATCTCAAATGCAATATCACGTCACCTCTACCCCATAAAGAACTTGCATGAGACTTTTTCTACGAACTTGTGAAAGTTCATATTCGGAAGTATATAAAATGACGAATTCTTACAATGCTTGTTTTTTACATTATATACCCATCACGAATGGAATATCAAACATGACCAGAGGCATGCGTGTGTGTGTGTGTGTGTGTGTTATACACAAAAAATGTTGCACAAGTCTAACAAATGAACCGTTGTCATTATAGTCGTTGAAAGAAACCCCTATACAGTCTGAACAAACATAACCAAATTTCGAGCAGTAATACGCTTAACATCCTTGTGGTTTTAGATTTCTCTTCTGATGATTAGCCGACGTAATCAGATAGAACAAAACCTGTCAGGCTGCATGGGCTTATTTCTGTCTTGAGACCATAACGTAAACTATCCAGTCACATCTTTCTGAAACCCCATACGTTTAACTCTTTCATAAAAGCATTTGTTCACTTAATCTTTTTTTTTTTTTTGCCCTTCCTTTCTAATAAAGGATTCATTCAGTTGCTATGTCAGCGCTATTTCCTTTTCGCAAGATCTGAAGGAACCAGATGCCCTTGGTGTCTAGCTTGTGTCACCGATCCCTTCCCGCCTTAAAAGCTCTGGTCATGTTCGAGATACGACACTACAGAGTTTCATGCAAATATCTCATCAAGAAAATCAAGTGTTTCTCATATAATAGCAGCCACTGCGCAATGAGCAAGAAAAAGTTTGCCTACTAAAGCTTCAGATAACACTCTTGAAGAAATGGAAGGCGTTTTTTGTTTTCATCATCTGACCTCACTCCTTGTTTTCTGGTCTAAACTGCTGCTGCTTTAAATAGTCGTTACTTCACTTTTTGTACGTGGAAAATGTATATGGATCACATTTTTAAAGTATAACACAATTGATCTCATATAAATAAATGTTAGCACTGTGCTACTGTTCCTCGAAACTGTTCAGCTTTTTTTCTTTTTTAATTTGCAACCTGGGCATCATAAACACAACTGCCTTAGAGTTAGGGGGAAAACTTGGGACAGAAACTCGACTATATGTTTATGAGGCCACGGTGTATATACGACAATATAAGACGTTCTAAGCTCCTAATAATATCCACACAGAGGTGAGCTACAAATTATCTTTAGTTTTATTTTATACTAAGGACGGGTACCCGTTAAAAAGCTTGAATTGTATAAATGGCAATATTAGATAATGTTCCATTTTTTCCTTTGTTACAAGGTCCCTAATGACCTCATTAGATGCTTTGCATGCCCTGCTTTGTGAAAGGAAATAATTGACTTGTTTGCTTGTTGTTAAGCGCAAAGCTACACAAATGGATTATCTGTGCTGTGCCCACGCAAGTATCGAAAACCGATTTATATCGTTATAAGCCCGCATAATTATCGCTGAGCTACCAGGGGAAGGAGGAGGCTGACTCATTTAATTGATTAAGCATTTGTTTATTTAAATTAAAGGCAAAATGTCTAAAAAAAAAGCAGAAATGTGTCCTATTTCAGGGTCTTTTTACATACCCCTTCTAATAGCAAAAATCTTAAATCAAAATAGTCCATTGTTTGGTTTTTATAGAGCCGGGATTCTTTACAACAGGTGTCTGTGACTTATTGGCGATAAATTTGAAGAATAAACGGACAGCGCACAATCCACTTATTTTAAAATAATATATTCAAAACAAGTCAACAGTATGTGAAAAAATTCGTTACACCATTGGTTATCACAGTTGTACCCAGAGATTGAAATAATTGCCTCCTTTTCAAGCCCAAACAAGCGGGTTCAATTGACAAGATAAATTATTCCTCTTTATCTCTGTTATTACAATACCACTGGAAACTCACTTTAGAGATTGCCCGTTATGGCTAAACTAACAATCAGACAGTGTAGCTTCACTTTCACTAATTTATTAGTTGGTCACGAAATTAATGCCGCGTTTTGGAACACCTTCATTAACCAACCCCTCAAAAACGCACATCACTTATAATAATTAAACGAACAGCCTACACGTTACGTTAGTGTAGCCTATATAATATGTAAAGTTTAGTATACTCTAATCTCTTATAGTGATGGCACACGACGAGGCACATATTCTACATGCAATGCTGTTTGAAGACAAGATGGGAAACAACGCCTCTGTAGCCATAAAGAATATCACAGAGGTTTATGGAAATGTTTTGAACGTTGGTAAATGTCAACGATGGTTGAGCAAATTTCGTTCAGGTGACTTTAGCCTTAAAAACTGTAATGGCAGGGGCCGACATTTTGGAATTGATATTGATGCTCTGAAGACGCTTGTTGAGTCTAACCCAAGGCAATACACTCGTGAAATAGCCCTGAAATTGCATATCTCTCACGAAACAATGCGTAAATATCAAGGAATATGGGAAAACTCCTTAAAGGTGTTTGGGTGCCTCCGATGATTATCGTTT